GCACGCTAAAGCTTGGGTCCACTTCACTAAATGTGATGGGTAACTGGGTGATGATGAAACCAGCGACAACGATCTAAGTGAGACATCCTCATCTTAATCTGCTCCGGTACGTAAATAAAATGTTTAAGATAACGTTAGCTTGATATGTTAGCTTCCGTTTCGCTAATGGTGCGTTCGCTTTCTCCTCGGAACTCCGAATTTCCGACTAGAAGAACATGAACGTGCTCTAAATTTTGGCTTCACTTTACTAAATGCGACGGGTGATTGGGTGAAGACGAAACCAGCGACAACGATCTAAGTGTGAGGCATCATCGTTTTAATCTGCTCCAGCAGTTAAATAAACTGTTTAAGATAACGTTAGCTTTATATGTTAGCTTCCATTGGCACCGTTGTTATCAGCTAATGGTGCGTTCGCTTTCTCCTCGGAAATTCTAACTTCCCAGTAGGAAAAATCTAATGAAAAAGGACAGTAAAAGGAATGAAGATACACAGTAAATTTAGTTCACAGTAAAGATGTTTGCTTCAGTTTAATTATCAGCTTATAAAACTACAAGGACGATGTTAAAATACAAACAGTTGTATGTTATTTATCGTGACATTTATCAAATATGGTTATATATTGAGAAAAATATATATTTAATTATAAAAGAGAATTAAAATAATAAACACTCAAAAGTATCGAAAGTTGGTACCGTTAAGTACCGGTATCGATTCCTAGGTACCGGGAATTAGTACCGGATCGATTCAAATGTCAAACGTACCCATCCCTAGTGTGGACAGTTTCTTTTTTTAAATGAGGCGTTGTGGATGCAAGTTTTTGGAGGGGCGGATATTCGTTTTTTTTAAAACCCGGTTACATGTGGACGAGGCCTAAGAAGTGGAATGAAAACACTAAATAAAAACAACAACAGCAAAGTAAGAATCAAGAACTTGTTGATTTCTGGTAAAAACTACACTTTTTACCAGAAATGATCAGGTGACAACATCTGACGTTCAAGGAGAACAAAATGAACTTTTAGACTGATCAGTGTTTCCCACACAGCCGAGTGAACAATTCTTCTCAACTAGAGTTCGTGTCACCACTCGTGAGACACGACTCGTTCAGACTCTTAACTGTTAGACTCGTAATCATGCACTCGTTGCCTCACTTGTTGCTCTTGTTGCCTAATGGGGCCGGAAACGTTGCGTTGCGCCTGCATCATCTGCTGCTGGATTTGTAAACGCTGGTACGCCTGAACAGAAGGAAACAGAACACTTAAAAAGTAAACATCAGACGTGTTTTCAAATGATCACAGTCTTGATTCTCAACAGCGTCTATGCTCTGGAATCAAAACTAAACGTGTTGCTGTTCAGGTCCCTGCTGCAGCAGCAGAATGGAGCCTCACCATTTGCAGCTGCTGGAGTTGGTACAACAGGTTCATTTGTTGAGGGTTTATTGGTGAGGTTAAAAGTGCAGGATTTAGACCGATGTTTTTTGCTGCAAACTGCAAGAGCTGTGCTTGGACCTGGTGAGAAGGAAAACACAAAACAGATGAGAGTCAACAGCTACACCTAGTGGCAACAGGATGTCTGGGTTGTAGGCTTAAACTGACAAACGTCTAGGTGACTAGGGTTGTCACGATACTAACATTTCAAACTCGATTCGATGCTATTTAAAAACACCAATTTATTGAACAAGTTTATTCAAAAAATAACATTCCTCAATTTATATTGCAAAAATTAAATGTTAAGAATTAAGTGTGTAAAGTGCTTAAACCTTTCAAGTATCAGCATTTTTTTAAACGTGCATACAAAAACTGGTGAAAGTTAACACTTTAAATCAAGAATTGTCTCACTATATATACACTATTTGCAGAGTGATGTTTTGCTGCTTAAACTCTGTTTAAGGTGCATTTTTGTCATAAGATGTAATGCCATATGTTTTGTTCTGTACTTTTGAACAACTCTGTTGGTCAATAAAGGGAGAAAACGAATTTCTCCACAGTAGGACAAAGGTACATCTACCGGTAATCTTAATAAAAACAGATTGGCGTACGGCAGTGACGTCATTAAAAGCGCCGGTTAGATTAGCCGTAGCTAGTCTGTTTACACCTAGAAATCCCAGACCCGCTCCAAACGAACAGGGGAATCACGTTAATGATTCCCAACAAAACCTTTCGACATGAAGATGTTTTGGTGCAGATAATGTCTTATTTCGAGGCTGCACCATGGGTGCCCATCCACACCCGTCATATGGATATACACTGATGGCGATTCGCCGATGGATCTAAATGCCCCGGGGAATCCAAGTAGCACCAAAGTTGTCAGCGTGAGTAAATAAACGTACTGCATGCTAGAAATTAAGTCCGGGTTGCAATAAACGGGAGTTTCCTTTAAGCACATAAGCGTGAATATACAACTACTTGTCGGACTTGGTATGCTAATTAAGTTGGGCTGTGAAGCGCCTCCCAAATTCGCTGTTTATGTTTTTGTTTATTTGGCAGACAAAACTTGGATCGGAGACAACTCGCGTGGGAAATTGCAATGTAGCCATGCGGCGTCTTCTTCTGTTTGTCTGGGAGGCGGAGGCTGCTTTACGGCATCTGGCTGTCGTGCGTGTCGGTGTACGTGAAGAAGGCTGTGTATAATAGTCCATAATATCGATACCACAGGGATGGAATATCTCATTTAGATACCACTTTTAGCATCGATTTATATCTAGGTATTGATTTTTTTGACAACACTATAGGTGACAAATACATTCCTCATATTCGTGTGTGTGTGTGTGTGTGTGTGTGTGTGTGTGTGTGTGTGTGTACCTGAGGGGAGAGAAACTGAGGCACTTGAGCACGTAGACTAGGCTGGGAGGAGCTGAGAGGTGGCACTGGTGGCTGCTGCTGCTGCATGGCCCGGGTTTGTGCTGCTCCACCACTACCAAACATTCCACCGAGTATCTGAAATGAAAGACATTCTCCAGTTACTTCCCCGCCCTGAGAAAACTCAAGATGCCGACGTTCTAAAGCACACGTGTCAAGACGCAAGGCCCGTACATCACTTAATGTGGCCCGCGAGAGATTCGTGTGTCTTAAAATAAGTCTACGCCGCTTCAAAGCGCACGTTGACTATAAACTATGTTTCCCAAGGTGATTGTGTTCCAGTGCAGTGACTCATTATTAGGTTGCACTTCCATGTTTAATTAATGCAACAAGTGAAAATAACTGTCCACACGTCGTCCCAAAATGTCCAGGAAGAGACGGATTGATGCAGAAGGAAGGTGTTTCAACAAAGATGGAACATGTTGATGCTTCAAGGAGAAAACCGATGTGCCTTTACAGTCATTACTACTAGCATCAGCGTCTGCAGCGTCACCTCCTCTGCCTCGGACAAACTGAAAACACTCCTCACTCAGCGCCGAGTTCACTCAGCAGTTCGTCGACTTTGAAGCCCAGAAATGGATTTGAACAGCTCATTAATCTGTTTGCTGCTGACATAGAAGCGCACCGACCAACTTCCAGACCGAGATGATTTAACTCCAGTTTAGTGACACGCTCAAGTCACATGACTCTGTGGCTGCTGCGGCTTTTATCCCCCTCCCCCACACAAATGCGTGGTCCAGATGCTCTCCATGTCCAGCAGCACAAACCTGTGTGAGCACCTGTTTCTCACTGATGAACTCCTTCCTCCGCTCAGAGCCCAGCCCCACAGGTGCAGGTCTGGCTGGAACCGGTGAGCATCACAGGAAATCAGAGTGGAGAAAGCTGGGATTCAATTATTTTGGTTTTATTAACCTTTTCTGCTCCAAAGCAAGAAAGTTAATAGGTGAGATTTTGCATTTTGTTACTAGTTTTTATTTCTGTTGTTGGACTGTGAAAATAAATTAAACCTACTTTAAAACAGGAGAGATTACAGATAGAAGAATAGAAACAAAAATAAAATAGAAAATCCCTTTATTGTCCCTCAGTGGGGAAAGCTTGGTGTCACAGCAGCAACAACATTCATTACAAGAGCAACAAAGGAGAGTAAAAAAATAAGAATAAACAAGAAAACATAAAAAAGAAACACTTAAAAGATTCAAAGGATACAAAATAAGAAGAAATGCTGAACATATGCAGATTTTAAGGAATAAAATATTTAAAAAACTGAGACAAAAGTAATGAATACCACTGATGTGTACTTTATTTAAAATGGATTTGCTCGTGTGTAATTTGGTTATTCCACATTCAGTGTTACAGCAAAAATAAGTTTGTTTCCAAATGAAAAGGTTCAACCGTTCATATCTGTAGATAAAGGAAAATGTGCACATTTGCCATTACTTTTTAAAAACATTGAGTTTGACGCGCGACTTCGTCCAGTTTTTCATTTTGGCCCAGAGTGAATTTGAGTTCAACACCCCTGGTCTAAAGTATCACCCGTATATGTTCCAAATGAAGTCGTGAGAACAAATGTTTGCAAAACTGTTCCAAGTTCCAAAACCAGAAAACATCTCCATCAATCCTAAAATTTCACCTGAGATAAAACCATAAAAGGCATGAAAATTCCTGTTTGGTTTTTGGAATCTGAACGTCCAACGATGTTTTTATGGCGGCATCTGCCTGAGCTACAGAGCTCCAAATGGGGAGGAGGTTTCCTCGCTAAAGGGGAAAATGTTTATTTAATACAAATGTTGTGTCACGTACTGCTACAGAAGATCATACAACGCCATCTCTGATTGAACTTTATGTTTTTTTCATGTATAAAATGGAATTTGTTTTTAAGATACAGGATGTGAAAAACTAACCCCCAAATTCCACTACCTCCGCTCCGCTCCGCCCCCGCCCCCGCCTTCCGCAGCCGCTCGCTTCCGAACTCAATTTTACTGGTACCCGCTCTACAACGGCTCCGCTCCGGTGCGGAGACCTGAGGCGCACAAACAGGCATGCGCGGGATTTTCGAGATGTTGCGATACAGTCCGAGCAATAAACGCGGAAGTTAGATCCAAACACCCGTTGTGTGGGAGAAGCATCGAAATGAACTGTTTAATCTGCCCATCATTTGTGTTGAGAGATCAGCAGTGTTTGGATCAACAAAGTGTGACTACTTTGATAGTAGAAACTGTATTTATGGCTTACTTTTGTGCATTTAAAGTTCAGCCGCCATTGATAGTTGTTAAAAGTTGTTAAACCTGTGCATATGAAACAAAAAACGCCTTTTGTTTATCGATTTGTGAAAAACGGAAGTTGTGCTCGCTCCTTTTCCTGTTGGGCAGTTGTGATTCCTGTCCATTTACTGCGGAGGTGCTCCGGCGTCCGGCAAAAATAGGATCGATTCTATTTTTGCCGGACGCCGGAACAGAGGGCGGCGCACGGCGCCACACTGCCGGAGCACGGCCGCAGTAGTGGAATTGCTCTGATTGACTACAACGGGACCGATTTTGCTCCGGCATTCGTGTCGGAGCGGAGCGGAGGTAGTGGAATTTGGGGGTTAAAAGGAAGAAGTCACCAGGGCACAACTGAACAACGGTATGGACAGGTTTAACAACTCAAAATTGGCTTCACTGAAGGACTGGAATGATCAGTTTAAAAACTGACGGCAGAGAGGAAAATTATCTCAGCCTGACCCAAACAAGTTCTTGTTATCCGAATCGGACGCCCTGGTAGCCTTGAGTGGCGAGCAACAAACCCCCACGAAGGAATGCAGACAGATGCTGTGAAAACCCGACCTCCCTGGAGTTGTGGAGCTGCATTTCATTGATGGTATCATGAACTCAACAATGTACTGCGTCCTGACGAAAATAACTCGTATTTAAGATAAATGACATCTCAACTGTGCCGACGATGATATTTGTGCCTCTTTTGCTCTCGCGGGTTTAAAACAGCGTGATACGGAACCTCAAAGATGTGAGTTAACACTTCCAACCCATTGTAAACATTTTTATCATTCAACCTCGACTTGATAGTACAACAAAAATACCCTGAGAGCTAACTTGAGAGGATTTTTTTTTTCTTTTACTAAAGGACAACTGTTCTATAAACGGCCCCTTCATCTGCATTTCTCTACTGCCTCGAGTAGGAAAGGAAAGCATTGAATTACCGGTCTGTTGTTCAAGTTTTGCATGGCCAGCCCCGGGTTGCCCTGTCCCAGACCTTGTCCAGGAAGGCTGCTGTTGGCCAGGGGGAGCTTCAGGCTGGGGGAAGGCAGAAACGGTGATGGAGGGGCATCGTCTGACAGGACGCCATCCTGGAACAAAAGTACATCTTACATAAAACACTACAAAGTACTACATACCACATGTGACATTACAGTCTTCATAAAAGCTTGTTTGGCTAGGTACTCATGTTCTCACCTTGTCAAGAAAGGTGGTGCGGTCCAAGGAGTCTTTGGAGAGCGCGGAGGGCCGACCCAATAGAGTCTTGCTCATGCTGTTGCTGTAATCGGATATGCCCATGCTCTGCTTGTCCAGATCCGTCTTCTTCTCCAGCAGGGCGGCTGGAAGCAGAGAGGAGGACGGCAAAGGTCACCAACACTGTAACACGTTGCTGCAATACAGTGCCATTAAATTCACTGGCGGTGAGTGTCTGATGTTAAATAGGTTTGTTTATACGAGAGCATTAAGAGAAACTAGTAAACATACTCATGGCCTGATCGAGGTTCATGTTGTTGCTTTTCAGAGCCTCCTCAGCAGGATCTCTCTGTAACGCAAGGGTAAAATATCTGTGGTTAATAAAAACTAGAATAAAATGTCACATTTTGGACCTATTAATATATTTAAACACTGTGCAGCAGACCCTTATTTGGCAAATAAGTCAAAATATTAGGTGAAAGATCAGTAAAAAGGAAGTGTAGTTACTGGAAAGCCCATGTCGGTGAGCTGTTTGATGAGACGGTTCATGATCCAGGCTTCGTCTGGCTTGCTGCCAATCTTCCCCTGTGTCAAACCAATAAAATATTACCATTTTCTACCAACACTACATCGTTTTCATCGACTCTGTCCAATTATTTTTTTTTTAGACAAAGACCGGTTGTTTTCGGACCTTGCTGGCACACTTCTTGGGCCCGTTGCCCCAGGAGTTACAGGTAGAGCTGCTCTCCTGGGAGGTGGGGCTGTTCCATACGTCCCCGTCCTCCGTGTCCCATTGGCTAGTAGACATATTCATGTCTTCCCCACTTCCCCAGCCATCTTGCATAGGTTTGGGGACTAAAATCAGAGAAGAATGAGGAGAAGAGGCTGTGAAGCTTCCAGAGATGTACCTCATTTAACAATTTATTTCAGAGGGTGGCTTGCAGGTAGTTCCTAGTCTAACCACTTGGTGCCACTGTTGTCATTTCAAATCGAGCTCCTCTGCCCTCCTTTCAAGCAGTTCAACCCAGGAATAAAATAACCACCGACTACTCAGGCATGGAATTGCTTTAATCCTAGCAATACTCCAATCAAGTACTATCAACAAACACCTCCAGAGCTGGTTCAAACTGTAGAGGTCTAAAGAAACTCCCAGTTTTATTTTCTAAGCACGTGAGCTGTGGAAACACAGCTGACGACAGTCAGTGGTTTGCAGGTTTTCATACAGACTAGATGCAAGCTTTATATCAAAAACCTGAAGTTAAAGGTTTTACCAACACTATCAAAAACAATCTAAAGAAATCTGTGTCAGCTAGTGGTGAGGAGAAATAATTATTTGTGCTAATTTGTTGTCATGTTACCTGGCTTACAAGGTGGAGGACCTGTAGGTCCACTGGACCTAACAAAAGGGCCAGGGGGCTCATGGCCACCGTTGCCCCATCCTCCAACACCGCCTGGGGGCTTGCCCCAAGCAGAGGTACCGTTGTCAACAGCTGATGTTGGAGCTGCTGGCTCTCCCCAAGCAGGCTCCGATTTAGGCTGAACACTGGGAAGCTCTCCCCAACCTGTCAGGTCAAGCAGAAGTAAAATCACAAATCTTTACCATCAGCCTTCTCTACCCTCTCAGCTACCAACAAGTGATTATTCTACTTTTAAGACGTCTAAAAGCAGTTACCAGAAATAAACCACCACAGTGCAGGACGATCTGGGATATTTAAATGATTGTTCATCTACGTTTACAGTAATCCCTCGTTACTTCGCGGTTCGTTCATCGCGGATTCGCTGCTTCGCGGATTTTCTCTTTGGAGCATTTTTCAGGGGGAATTCGCAGATTTGCGGTATTTTTCACTGATTTGCGGTATTTTTCTATGCAAAATATCAAGAAATTCTTGTTTTTTCATCAATTTCATCATAAAATGCACTTTTTGTAATAAAACAAACAAAAAAAAAACAAGTAAAAAAATGTTTTTTCTTGAGTTTTACCCACAAAAAGAGAATGTGATCATACGATAATTCAATAGGGAGCGTGGTTTCACAGACGCGGAAGCGATAGCGTCGGTGAAACGCCGGCTGATCTAGGAAACCCCCGAGCGTTCGAGCGTCAACGAAGTGACACGGAAATGCCGGGCTCGACACACGGCGATAAACGACCGCGATCAGCGAAATTTGTTGCTGTCGCTTTTATAACCTGACACACGGGAGGCGATCAGCGGCAGCGGCAAAGCCGTCTACGCGTTCTGTTCCATGGCGAAATCGAAACTTCCGTTGTTTTGCTTGGCTGTGTCAGGTTGGAGGGAATTAAGGTTATTTAAGCGGTTCAGAGTTAATAAAACGGTAGATATGATGTTTCACAAGGTGCTGCTAGAGTTATGTGAAATCTTACTTCTGATTTTACTATAAAACATAACAATAATCAACTTCTCCTCCATGTTTGCTCGGAGGTGTACGGAGCATCCTGTCCGCTCATTGGTCAGTGAATGAAACCTCCGTTGATTGGTCCTCATCCGAGCAACAGCGATGAAAAGTTGAAAATGTTTAAACTTTCTGGGATCGCGTCGCTGGGTCGCCTGTGCACGACACGTGCACGAGCGCAAAATTTCACACGCACGTTTTTCGCGTTTCACTTGGTAGGAGGGAGACCCGCGATTATCGCTTTATCGCGCATGTCTCACTGAAAATGAATGGAGGAGAGGCGATGTCGCGTCCCGTGTGTCGAGCCCATAAGTCTGAAGGCCTGAAGCTTCAGCGGAGGTGCATCACTGATGGTAAATCGCATGGGTGCAGTGGTATCATTCACAAACAGAAAGGGATAGTGCTGGCATTAATACCATGTCATTTATTTGGTATTTGGCTTCCTGTGGACTGACTAAAGCTGATTCTGGTTGAACAAACTGTTGCTTAGTTTTTATTTGGTACAGCTGTCAATCCTTCCAACAATGTCTATGTGATTCTACACAGTGTGTAAGAGTGCGAGCATCGAACCTGGGTTGGCAAGAGGCAGTCTGCCTTGAGGTCCAGCACCTGGATGTGAGGCGGCATTGTTTGGTGACCCGTTGTTGTTTCCTTGGTGCTGCATGTGACTTGGAGGCTGGCTGTGATGGCTATGGTGATGCACATGGTGAGGGTGATGGTGATTATTGTTACTGTTGGGCATCATCATTCCACCATTCTTGCTGGGAGGAGGTCCGCTGTTGCCTGGGTTATTATTAGGATTATTACGATCCCACATGTTGACGGTCTTTTTGTAGGCGTTGGGATCACCCCAAGTTGATGTTCCATCATCAATCTCCATCTTCCTGCGGATGGATGGAGGAGAAGGCTCCTCCCAGCCGGTGGGTTCCATGCTCTGGTCCTGTTTGCTTACATTTCCCCAGCCAGAGCTGCTCTGCTTCACAGAGCAAGGACCACCCCAGGAACCAATGCTGTCAGTGCTGCTGCCACTGCTGCTGCTTTCTTGGGGCTTGGAAGAGCCCCAGCCTCCCTGCACTGGGCCACTGCTACGCGAGTTCTCCCCCCAGTTGCTGCTACTCACAGCTGGAGCAGGTTTACCCCATCCACCTCCTCCCCTATTTCCCCCTCTGGGACTTTCTTTCCATCCACCACTTCCTCCATTACTCCCTTCCTCTTCCCACATGCTGCTAGAAGACTCAGTGTTCTTGGTATCTGACCCTCCCCAGTCCCCAGGGGTTGAGACACTGGAGCCCCCATTTCTGTTGCTCCAACTTTGAGAGTTTTTGGGGCCCTCTCCCCAGTTAGTAGGGTGGTTCTTCATTGTGCTATCATCCCAGCTGGGGGATTTCTCCTCAGAACCCCACAATGGGGTGCCTTCACTTTTAGATCCGTTAGAAGATAATGAGTCACCCCAGCTACTGGGTGTGCCATTGGAGGCTTTGTTAAGAGTAGGTGAGGGGTTGCCCCATCCTGATCCAGTTTGAATTGGCTGAGGTGGTGGTGCTCCCCAGCTAGAGGATGAAGATCCATCACTGTCACTTTTTCCTCCAGAGCCAGGCCTTTGACTGGCTCCAATGTTAGGGTTAATAGTACCTTCATTGGGTGATGAGGATCCACCATTAGAGCTTGAGCATCCAATTATGTCTGAGCTGCTGTTGCTCTTTCCATCATCAGAAATGGCTTCTTCCATCTCCCACACAGTGTGCTGTCGGATGGGGGTTTGTCCCCAACCTGTGTTGCTCAGCACTCTTGGGTCTAGGTCCTGCCGCGGTAGTACTGGGGTAAAATCCATGCTGGAGGATCGGTCATTGCAACGGGATCGACCTTCACTGCTATCCCCACTGTCCTCACTAGCTGGGGCTGTTCCTGAATGCTTGCCCCAAGAGCTAATTTGCTGCTCTTGACCTGAGCCAGAACTACCAGCATCTACTGAATCCCAACTTTTGGATGCATCACCAACCCCAGAAGATTTGGCCCAGTCACCCCAGCTGCCACTTCCACTACTCCCGCCACCACTCCCTTGGCGGCCCCAGGCAGAAAGGGCTGCAGAGGGAGTTGAGTCCCAGCTGGAGTCCTTGGTGGGCTCAGCTGCCTTTGTTTCTCCACAACCCCAAACAGAGCTGCCTGTTGCGTCACCATTGAGCTGGGATGATTCCGTGGGCGATTGACCTCCCCAGCCGGTTAAGCCGTGGATGGGGCTCATAGGCTCCTGAGCTTGATGCTGTTGTTTAGTGTAGTTTGGTCCGTCAGTGTTCAGGTTAGCAGGCTCCGTTTTGAAGGATAGGTTTGAGTTGGCTGAAGGGCGCTGTTGGTCATTTTCGTTAGCACCCATCATGCTGACCCAACCTCCACCACCATTGTCTACATTTCCATTTCTAACATTTCCATTGCCATTTAACCCTGGTGGAAGGGATGAAGCGGCCACTCCATTAGAGCCAATACCACCAGCCCCACCACCTTCATGTCCCAGAACTGGCCAGGCTGATGGGTTGGCATTGGGGTTAAGGTTCAAGTTAAAATTAGGTGATCCCCAGTTATTGGGCGTTCCCACTCTTCCACCATTCATTCCATCTTGTTTCCCATCTGAGCCCCAGCCTCTATTACCTGTTAAAGGGTTGGCTGATACAGGTCCTGTCATCATGTTGTTGTTTGTTTTGAGAGAGTTGTAGTGGGCCTGCTGGCCAGTGGTACCTGTCGCCATACTCAGAAAACCACTTCTGCCAGTAGTAACGACAGCACTGGTGTCTAGACTAGAGCTGGATGAGCCCAGGGAGCATTCTGATGTTGCCAGGCAACTGCGGTCACTGCTACAGCTAATGGATGGCCAAATGTCTGTATCGCTTCCGTCAATGATTACTTTGTCCCAGCTTTTGGCACTGGGGGGTCTGTTAACCGGTACAGAGGCTCCCCAATGAGAGGTATCATACTGGGCACCAGGGCCACTCTGGAGGGATATGTCTGGGAAACAAACAAAACCAGAGAAAAAGGAAACATTAGACAAGCCTTCACAGTAAAAACTTTAAAAACAAGTTGTTGGAGCTTTGTCAACATATGATAATTAGAGAGAACAACTTGAGACAAAACACACACACACACACACACACACTTAAAAAAAAAAGACATTCCCACCCAAACAAAGCAGAAAAAATGACCAGAAAGGGTGGCAGGTGCGTTATGTGTGACGAGACAAGATTTGGAAGAACATTCTGTTAGTTTTATTGGTCACAAAATATTCTGTTTCTAGAATGAATTTTGGATTAATTGGCTGAATAACGCCTCGACAGCATGAGATGGGCACAGTTGCACTTTCCAGAATTCACCATCACGTAACAAATGTTCTCCAACAAATTTCCACATTTATTCTCTTTGGTGCAGCTGACCAACAAACATTTTCATTTGAGTCAAACACATTTCTCATTTCAGCTAAACCCTTCCTACAACTCTTTTTCCTAATTATCTTTTCCATACAATTTCCTATTTTGCTCTATTTTCCCCAACATGTTTTATCCATGGCTTAATCCTATTTCTCACTTGGTCTGTAGCTCCTCACTCCCTTTTGTCCTGGTCTATTCCTCACCCCTCGATTCCTCCCTCTCCCCCCTCTGCGGCAGTGAGAGGCCCATCCGTCTCCATCGCAGCCTTGCTGCCTGGTCCCGTGAAGGGAAGCCCAAGTGGAACGCCGCTCATTTATTGGAATGAAACCAAGATGACTTCTCATCTATCACCCCCCACCCCACCCACCCACACACACAACTGCACTGTACTAACACCAATAATTGTTGCCCCTCCCCCTGCTCTCTGCTGCCTCTTTACTACATGCATATTATACATAAGAATGGTTGCCTTTTCACCAGACCCACCCCACCGTCCAACACAGTAGCAATGAAACACCCATCATCCAAAGTTGTGTCCAAATGTTTCATTACAGTGTTTGAACCAAAAATATCAACTAACGACTAATGAGAATTAAATAAAATGCAACAAAACCAGAGGAGAGTCCTTCCAGCAGCACTCTGATCACATGTATTGGGCACAAAAGCATCTCATCAGATGAGGAAACTAATAATAGACTGAGCCGATGGTGTAAAAGGGTGATCAATCAGTGGGAGGCAGTTAATCAATGATCTTATTAATGCTAGTGGAGGAGAGCAGGGAGGCTATCGATCCAGCATGCAAACACTCTGACCACTAGGCCAGCCTCCGGCAATTGGTCCAAAACCCAATCAGAACTTACGGTTAGAAATATCACCAGCACAAAGGCCAAACCAGCAAATAAAGGAAGAGGTTCATTCTGTAATTATTTGAGGAGGCAAGAAGATTAATGTGCAGTGGAAAATGTTGACTCTGGGTATTAATCTAGATTTATTTCTAATACAGAATAACACAAGGTTTTAAATGTTATCCAGATATGGAACATGGCCCAATGCAAACACCCATTCCTCAGTTCATATTTTATCAAATGAAACAATCATTCAAGGTACTTTATTTCCCATAACAATGGAATTATTACAATTTGATTAGATTTTAAGCACATTAAAATATTTTGAATTGAAACGTCCTTTACTGTCGTTTTGTTGAAAGATTTCAATATTCAGGCTTTTTCCAAGTATTTCATAGAATTTTTGACATTTTAAAAATTCTTCATAGAAGTCACTTTCGGTGAAACTGTGGGCAAAAAAAATCGTAAAGAAAGGAATTTTAAATGAATAATTAAGAAGCCATAATACCCTACAATATATAAGCATGATATTTTTAATACTGACTGTGTGTAAAGTGGAAACACCAGGAAGTACGACTTTTATTGATGTTACATTTGTTAGCAGTTAGATCTCACCAACACAGCAGAGAAGAAACTGTTGCTTGATTTAGCTACATTACCTCTCTACTACCTGTAGCTGCTATCGGATTGCTGCAGTAATTTCAGTACAGCTAGTCCATAAGCTGAGGGTCAAAGTAATCCCCCAGGTAAGAAAACAACCATTTGTTTGAGGGGTGTAGAGTCGAACACAAACGAATCTACCACCGAAAAAACTCCTCACCACTCTTATTCCCACCCTCCAGGCAGCATTAAGGCACGGTGTCACAACTGGCACATGTCCTCAAAATATCTGCAGTCGGTTTGCAATGGAGCAAAACCCTAAATGAAAAGACAGCACCAGAGATCTGATGCATCTGCAGTTACCGCTTTTCTTTTTAGGCTTGAAGGTGTTACAACTTGGGACCGAGCCAAATAGGAGCTTTCAATGAGAAAGCCTTTAATTAGACTTTTGATGATCTTTCTCTCTTCGGATCGTTATGTTTTGTTCTAGAGCAAATCTCAGCCTTTATGACAAATGTCTAAATGTAATACAGACCACTAGCCTAGTGAACTAGACCAAATTCTTGCTTGGCAAAGTTTGGTCTAGGCATGCTCCATTGGAACCTCAGCAGCTCCTACCAGGACTCTGGCTAGCCAATCACAGCTCTCTAGAGCGGCTTCAAACACATAAAGAGCTGTGATTGGTCCATAATGGTGGGCCAATCATAGTGCTGTATCTGCTAACCCCCAAATTCCACTACCTCCGCTCCGCTCCGACACGAATGCCGGAGCAAAATCGGTCCCGTTCTAGTCAGTCAGAGCAATTCCACTACTGCGGCCGTGCTCCGGCCGTGCTCCAGCCGTGCGGCACCGTGCGCCGCCCTCTGTTCCGGCGTCCGGCAAAAATAGAATCGATCCTATTTTTGCCGGACGCCGGAGCACCTCCGCAGTAAATGGACAGGAATCACAACCGCCCAACAGGAAAAGGAGCAAGCACAACTTCCGTTTTTCACAATAAATCGATAAACAAAAGGCGTTTTTTGTTTCATATGCACAGGTTTAACAACTTTTAACAACTATCAATGGCGGCTGAAGTTTAAATGCACAAAAGTAAGCCATAAATACAGTTTCCACTATCAAAGTAGTCACACTTTGTTGATCCAAACACTGCTGATCTCTCAACACAAATGATGGGCAGATTAAACAGTTCATGCCGATGCTTCTCCCACACAACGGGTGTTTGGATCTAACTTCCGCGTTTATTGCTCGGACTGTATCGCAAGATCTCGAAAATCCTGCGCATGCTTGTTTGCCCACCTCAGGTCTCCGCACCGGAGCGGAGCCGTTGCAGAGCGGGTACCAGTAAAAATTGAGTTCGGAAGCGAGCGGCTGCGGAAGGCGGGGGCGGACCGGAGCGGAGGTAGTGGAATTTGGGGGTTAGTGAACAAATCAGAGCTTTATCCGCTTTGTGGGCCAATCAGGGCACTCTATATGTCTGGTGGGTGGGATGATGCAACAGAGTGAAACAAGAGTGTGTCACATTCGTTGTCCAGTGGAATGCGGAGATCATTTGAAAGACAACGGTAGAGCCCGCCCCACAACCGAGAGCCGTCAATGGAGCGTGGCCAGACTGAATAATACATTTATTTAGTCTGGCTTGCCAGGCTAACAGACCACAGGAACAACTTCTGCACATAAACATGCCAAATTAAATCTTTTTACTTAAAAATAAAAGAAAACAAATAGTCACTGTGAAACTAATCAGACGCACAAAACTAATTTAAATCAAATGGCGCAGGTGTGATGTGTGAGTGCTACAATACTGAGAGTAAAGCGTGTTTCACCAAAGCCTGAATTGAAACAAGTATTGAATCGTTTTCTGCTGCCTGCCTTTTGTAAGCTGGTCTTTTCATAGATGTTGGAGGAAAAACCTGATGTTCATTTTTAACTCTTTCCAAGATCATTTTCAGAACAAAGTGTTTTTGTCAGAACTGGATTCTAGTCAAAAGTGAAATTGTTGCATTTAAACGATAACAGTCATCGTTTGGTTCAGATGATCCAACAATTGCACACTAGATTTTTTTTTTTCAGAAAATAAACAGACTTTTTTAATCTATCATGTCTGACATAAGTTTCAAACCAAAACCTCACCAAAAGGAAAGAGATTGTGTTCCCAACAGAGGGATAAAGGGAGTCGCTGTGCGAGGACTCATGTGGCCCTTTTCCACTAGTAACAGGTGTAAATATGCTCGTTGACCTTTATCAGAACCAACTTTGGAGTTTTTTTCAAGTGTAATGTGCTGGACCGAAAAAGTGATGACAGACAATTGTCAGACTGGTTATGGCCTGTATTTGATATAGCGCCTACTAGAGTCCTGGAACCACCCAAGGTGCTTTACAACGCAACTCCACCCATTCACACGCTGGTGGGGATGAGCTACGATGTAGCCACAGCTGCCTGAGCCAAAATGACTGAGGCGAGGTTGCTGAGCACTGACAGGTTAAGTGTCTTGCCCAAGGACACAACAGCAGCAACAGACTGAGCGGGGCTCGAACCTGCAACTTTCTGATTATGGGGCAAGCACTCATCTCCTGTGCCACCGTCGCCCCACAATGACCGGTTGTCTCCCACACTCTCCTGTACTCCTCTAGAGCGTTTCACCTCGATGCCCACTGCCCGACAACAAGCCAGACTGAGCAGAAAGTTCAACATCGTTACCGTGTCCTCTAGGGATGTAAGAAAGGCGGTATTATATCGATATTCAAAAGCGGTGTATTGAAAATATCGATATGGCAATGTATTGTGATTTTTTTTCCCTGCGATATTAAATCAATGTTCAAAAGCCGCATATGGAATTTTTGGAAGAATTCACATGCAAACATTTGTGTATTTTTGTTTCTTTTGGTGCAATTCAAACGCTGACCGTTAGATGGCAGCAGTGTGCAATGGGTTTAGTTTCCACCATTAAAATGTAAATCCCTTTGTTGTGGTTCAGATACCTCAAGTTAAACATATCAGTATGGACTGTTTCTTGAATATTTCTGCAATAAATTCAGTCTAAAAAATTGCTAATAACATCTGACTGAATGTAACGCAAATATCGTGATACACTGTATCGTCTCCACTGTATCGTGAAACGTATCGTATTGCCAAAAGTTC